CGATGTTTACCGAGCACTTCAACCGAGCAGCACCACTACGATTTTGAATATACCTATCTGCTGGCGGTCACGAACAAATCATAACAAAGTGCAAAAAAATGACACAAATGACCTTAGTTTAGACATTGAGGCCGCCAGGGGCGCAGCCAGGAAAAAATTTCGGGGGGGGGGCTAGAATTGGTGAGGGCGCCAATTTTGGCTCAGGAGGGCGCCAACGTCGGGTCAGGAGGGCGCCAATTTCGGCTCAGGAGGACGCTATCAATGCCGAGCAAAGACAACAAAATGCACATTTGTTTTCCCTTACATGGTCATGCGACCTTATTCCACTCAAACTACGGTTTATTCTAGGTAGTCCAGGTTAAAACTGCCTTTACATTTTACGTATTTCAAACGGAAACGAGGCGCGGCAGTCTTGCAGGCAAACAAACGGGCCGCGAATGTCTGCATTACTAGTGTATTTTTCGACCCCGTGGCTCAGTTCCTCCGTCCTTCGGCTCAAATTCAGGTCTCAAATTCTGATGTCAAGCGTCGTCTGGCTTACGGCCGACCCAAAAAGAACGATAGTGATAAGTGAATGAGTTGAATGAGAGTGAATAAGATGAGTGAATAGTTTGCCGGTCGGGCCAGTGGCACTGGCGTGCTCGATGGATGTTTGCCGAACTAGATGCAGTGAGCTCGAAATTAAGGCGCTGGAAACGTTGTCATGCCTTTGTTTTCCGGAAATTGTTCTATTTCTAGTTTGCGCCATTGGTTCCCTAACGCTTTTCTAATTGTACAATGTACATAGTTGTAAAAAACTGGATGTTTTACGTGCAAGGTAACGTTTTTTACTACGCGAAGCCAAAATTTTAAACAAGACTGTTGGACGTGAAGAGGGCGCTGAAGGTCCGGAGTGTATGGTGACAAGAACGATAATCGGTGAGGAGGGCACTGTACGTAATGTGAGGAGGGCGCCGGTCAGGATTGCGCTTTACGGTGAAAAGGTCGCTGACAGGTCAGGAGGACGATGTATGGTGAGGAGAGCGCCAGCAGGTCAGGAGGGCGCTGTATGGTGATGAGGGCGCTATACATTGCGGAGGGCGACGGCTGGTCAGGAGGGCGCTGAACGGTGATGAGGGCTGCGGCAGATCTGGAGGGCGCTACGTGAAGAGGGCGCCGACAAGTCAGCAGGGCGCTGTATGGTGGGGAGAGCGCCGGCAGGTCAGGAGGGCGCCGTATGGTGAGGGAGGGCACTATACGAGTGAAGATGGCGCTGACAAGTCAGAAGGGCACTGCTTAAAGAGGAGGGCGCGGACAGGTGAGGAAGGCGATGTACGGTCAGGAGACCGCCTACAGCTCAGGAGGGCCGTCTACGGTGAAAAGGGCACCGACTTGTCAGGAGGGCGCTAAACGCAGAGGGCGCCGGTCTGGAGGGCGTTGTATGGTTAGGAGGCCGCTATACAGTGAGGAGGCCGGCGACAGGTCAGGAGGGCGCTGTACGGTGAGGAGGGCGCTATAATACGATAAGGAGGGCGCTGACAGGTCAGGAGGGCGCCGACAAGTGTGGAGGGCGCAGACAGATCAGGAGGATGCTGTGTGGTAAGGACCATGAAGGCGCCGACTGGTCAGCACAGAGGGCGCCGAATGTGAAAAGGGCGCCGATAGGCCATAAGAGCGCTGAATGGCGAGAAGGGTGCCGACAGATCAGAAGGGCGCTGAAAAGACAGAAGGACGCTGAAGATGAGGAGGGCGCTAGTGGTCAGGAGATTGGGGTAGGATATCTGGCAGTTCAGGATTGTGGGTGCATCTTCACCCACAAAGGGATATAAAATTGTAAACCTGGGTGCCAGTGCCGCATGGTGTACCGCAATGGCTTACCGTCGAGGGCGCCTAGAGTGTTGGACATTAGAAAGGCGCCATCGACGCTACGAAATGATCGTGGAAGGCGCCCTGGATAAGGGCGCCGGCTAGATTTGGGAGGGGCTATAAGCCCAGTGTGCCCCCTCCCCTTGGCTGCGCCCCTGTAAACCGCGCAAGACCTATTGTTTTTTTTATCATGCTTTCCGGTCAAGGGGAGGAGAAGGAGACTCCATCGCCGTTCCTCCCCAGCCAGAGCATGGCGGAAATAACAGGCGTGCGCGCCGCTATGAGACACGACTGGTACTCGACAGTGATGTCTCAGGTCAACCGGTGGCCCATGAGGTCTGATCAATGCCCCAAGGATGTAGCTACTGGGGTCGTTTTACACATTCTTTATGAACAGTCATTTAAAATTCATGAGCGATGGTCCTTTTATGATAAATGATTGCTTTGAACACAGCTTTTCGTGAATGTCATGCCAAGGTGGCGTCACACTAGGTCAAAAGTTAAGGGCTTTCTTTTGTCATAATATGTTATGTATTCAGCTCGTCCAGGGGAATCCGATGGTGGTCTTAGTTTTGTCTTACGTAAAAGCCCTCACAACTGTTATGTCTCCAGATTTTTCATGCGAATCGCCTGAGGTCAGGTGGGTCACGAGCTCCAATGGGGAAATACAAGTAAAGTGCTATTACGGAGCCGAACAACTACATCGAGAGCGTGGATTATATATTAAACCGCGAGTAGGTAGAACAAATCTTTTAAACGTCGAGCCTATAGGCGAGACGTTTAAATGATTTTTCTGCCTACGAGTGGTTTAATAATTGTATCCCGTACCGCTGATTCCTTTCGGGCGCTTAAAGGTAAATATACATTTTATTTAAAAATACGACACTTTTCAGCAGAGCCAGAGACAAAGAGAAGCAGACAGATAAAGCTTTGAAAAACGGTCCAGACAATGTGCTCAGTCTGGAATTGACAGGTTCATTGAAGCCCAAGTCGCAAATAGGTACAAATAAACAAGAAAAAGAAAATGATGTTTCATTGCGTTTCCCTGCGCATACTGGTGAAAATAACGAGACAGTTAAATGGAAGAAATGTCTACTATAGTTCGTTTTATTTCAAAACCGGTTTGGCTCCAAGTTCATTATCGAAGGTCTCACGTGAGTTTCATCAGCGTCTGGTCAATAATTATTTCTTACCGGTAAAATATTCAGTTTCAAATTATGTTCGGTAAATACATGGAAATTGTATCTTCAAAAATCATCATACTATGATGACGTCACTGGTGGCAGCTGGCTCCCAATGTCCCTACGGTGGCACCAAATGTCGACAAGTTTTAGGAAAGCTTCATTTTTCACTGTTGCCGTGGTCAGAATCGAGTAAACGGTTCTGTTTATGGTAGGTATACATTACATTGCAATTTAAGTTTCACAGCATGACATCACCACTGTTCTAATGTCTAGTTCTAAAAAGCACGTATGGAATTTATCGGGAATAATTCACATGTTAAAATAAGGCGACGTTCGATTTTCTCAAGTTCAGTTTTTGGCCTTTTCGCTGGCTAAAACGCGTGCTTAGTTGAAGAACGTACTTGGAGCCAAACCGGTTTTGAAAAAAATGAACTATAAACGTTTAACAATTTATTAATCGTCACTAGACGTTTAACAAATCAGTTAAACGACATCTCTTAATTTTCTCTCTTTGCACGTGAAGCAATAGTAAACACTGTCTTCGGTGCGGGATAATCCTGATTTCATACACTACTTGCAGGGTCTGTGAGCAGACTTTGCAAAGGTTATGGCGGACCGTCCTTGCATGTGTCCTATGACACATGTGACGTCACTAAGGTCGCTTTAGGTCATCGTTTTTTTTTGTGCCAGGGTGCGAGTTCTCACAAACAAATCGATATTTGTTGAACCGTTATTCAATTCTCTTTATAAATTTGTGCTCTGTGCTCAAATTCACGTTTTGCATCACATTAGCTTAATATATTTATAACAACGCATTTAATCAGCAGATGTTTTTGTAACACCAAACGCATGCTCAGGTCTGGTCAAGTCACCGGCCTATGATGTCATAAGTAAACCTCTGCACGGCCCTCAGATGTCGCAACTTCGCAACGTCCTCAGTGCCAGAGGAACTTTCACAGAGAGATGAAACTTACAGAGTAAAGTATCCTCCAGAGATCTCACAGCTTGCAATCTCGGATTTTTTTCCTAAGATTCACATGAGGTCAGGAGGGTCACATGACCTCACCGCTATAAGCCAATGGGGAAAAATGAAAACTGTTATTTTGGCGCCGGGAACGATCTCAAACTAGCTCAAGCACACGAAATCGTGAGTTAATACACTCCTTTCAAGGTCCGATGCTTCACTTTTGATTTGTTGACCTTGCGTGACGTCATTTATGACGTCACCAGGGTCATAAGAGTTTTTCGGCAATAATTCCCGATCAAATTGAGCTAGCGAGTCAGGAAAGCCACCAATAGACTCAGGAAGACCTGCCGAATCGAATGACATGCAATATGACCTCCTTTGACCAGCTTCGTGACCTGGGGGACTCTGACCCTACCTTGACCCGAGGTCAACACGTTAAGTTGACCCCAACTGAACAAAAAGTATACCACTCGACGCGCCTGAGCGAAACGAACACGATGATGCCAAAATCGCCGCGCTACGACCGTTTTCTCGGAGCTATTCATCAAAAACCGAACCCGTGACTTGGGCCACTTGACCTGACCTCAGAGGTTACCGGTTGACCTGAGACCTTAAAATCGGATACCTCTTGCAGCGGCGCACACGCTTGTTTTTTTTTCCGCGACGCTCTAGCTCCATCAGGGGCGAAACGGCGAGGAGGGTCGTACCAACCCCCTACCCCTCGGTCGTGCGTATGTAAAAAACCAATAGGTCTGGCGAGGCTTAAAATGGGATACAAGTCGCTTCGTCTTGTAACGGCGCACACACTTTTTTGCGAGGCTCTAGGTCAATTAGGGGCGAAACGGCCAGGGGGGTCGTATCCGCCCCCCCCCCTCCTCGGCCGAGACGTATGTAGGAAACCGATAGGTCCGGCGAGGGTTAAAGCATGATGGTGCCAGTTCGTATTAACTCCCGCACCCATTCAGTGCCCGCTGCTGACTGCTGTTTGTTTCCCGCCAGGTCTGGGGCCACGCTGCCCAGTCCTCGGGCACGATGGCGGGCATCACGACTCTGCCGGGCAGCCGGCGCGCCAGTGACCGCAGCGGCCACTCGCCGGTGCTAGCCAGCCTTTCGGGCCGCTCCCTGCCCGGGTCCCGGCGCTCCAGCGGCCTCAGCGGCCCGGTCAGCGGTCACAGCGGCACAGCGGGAACCCTCGGGGGCCTCAGCGGCCTCGGGGGCCCGCTCAGCGGTCACAGCGGCACAGCGGGCGGCCTCGGGGGCCTCAGCGGCCTCGGGGGCCCGCTCGGTGGTCTGAGCGGACTCGGCGGGCCCCTGGGGGGCGGTCAGACCTCCCTGTCGGCCGGGATGGCCCCCGCCGGATCCAGCAGGGACGGACGAGGAATCAGCGTGCTCGTACAGATGCTGGACGACTCCCTGGTGCCGTTTACTATACAGGTCAGCAGGGAAGGGTCAAATGGGAACATGATTCGCCAGATTGACAGGCTGATGTCGCGCTAGTTAGGTGACAAATAAAAGCAACTGATAAAATTGTATCTTTGCCAATCTTTTATTATTTTATTTGTGAAATGCTGCCAGAATTTCAGTTACATATTACCTACCTCCTTTCATTATCCTGGTTACTCATAACGCAACTTTTACGTACTACTAAGGCGATTTTTTGTGACCCATATTGCCGGTTAGTCTTTCGTCCAGTCTTTTGTTCCTCTTCGTTAGATGCTGAATATTTGCTACGTAAGATGCTTTGTAGGATGCTCCACTTGGCACGCTGTCCTAGCTGAATCAGCTGCTTTCTCCTTCGGCAGATGAAATGGCCCGCCAAAGTCCTGTTCGAAATGGTCTGCAGGCATCTGGGCCTGCTGGAGTCGGACTACTTCGGTCTCGAGTACTGCGACAGCGACGGGGGAAAGGTAAATATATGTAATACGGTGACAGTGACGGAAGAAAGGTAAATAGACAGGGACGGAGGAAAGGTGAAGTACTGCGAGAGTGACGGCAGACGGAGGAAGGCAAGTTTAGTATACCAGCATGTGATAGTGATGGACTATACCTAACCTTTCCGGATCATTTGCCATCCTGAAATAACTATGCCTGCATGGAAGGATGTGCAACAAATAAAAAAATAAAAAAAATGGAGGGAAGGTAAATACAATACTGCTACGGTAGCGGAGAAAATGTATAATACTGCGGCAGCGACTAATGTAGTGTAGGTACGGGGACCCGCAGTTGCTACTGTACAGCGACCCTGAGTAAATTGTCCCAGCACCCTCACAGGGAACAACGATAAACTGTCAGAGGGCACGCACAGAAAACCTCAGCTGCTCTTGTACAGGAACCGACAGTCGATATCAATGTTATCGGTTGTTACTGGACAGGACAGACGGCTAGAGTTGGGGTTCGTGTACAGAAGCAACTGCGGGTCCCCGTACTGTGCTGCGAAGGTAACATTCGTAAAAAAATAGCCAGAAGGCAGGGAGTACACACAATCACGGGTGGAGAATGTTTGAAAAAGTTACCCCGGCCGGCGACCGAAAGTCAGAAAGACGAAGATGCTCAAATATTTGTCAACAGTTATCAACAAACCCCTATTCTCTGGCATAGAATAATGGATGTCTGCCGTTTGTACGTTTTTAGGGAAAACTGCTGCACGCAGGTCCGGAAAATTTTGTAATTGTAACAACAATTTTGCAACACGCCTTAAAATTTCGGACGCATGTCACCTAGTGCTAGGTCAGGTCATCAGGTCAAATTTGCTGGATGCTCGTGCTAAAAATGCCATCATGCCCTTTATGCAAAGCTTATTCCGTGGAAGTTGCAACCTTCCCACACAAAACAAAATGTCAAATTTGACCGTTTTGACCCTCTTATTGATTTGAGCTCGCACCTGAAATATTATTCGCGACCGAGCCTTAACCCGGCAGTTGCTGGGGTATTTCGCCACCCACCGTTTGCTGGGGGGGGGGGGGGGCGTTAAACGCCCCCAGCCGATAACTCGAGAACCAATAGGCGCAGCGAAACGCACGAGGCGGCAAACGAAAGAACGTGACGAGACGCTTCAGATGAGTACTTTAAAGTTGAATTTTGAGGTCACAGGTCAGGTCAAGGTCAGGTCAAACACCTGAAATCGGGCTTTCAGTAGCATGGACTTCAGGACTTCGCAATGGGCGCCTCTCGTCATAAACTCTGTCAAAACGGCGCACAATCCATCATATAAGGCCTACATGAGTGTCAGCTCCATGCAGGGGTCAGTCAAGCATAGGTCAGGGTCAAGGTCAGGTCAACCGGGTAGGCACATATCCCCGAAAATAAAAACTGATATTCGCAACCTGTGACACATGTTTTATGGGTAATTTGGGGCGTAGAATACGATGGTGACATTCATTTTATCATATGTGTACGTGTTTGGCTAAAAAAGTTCAATTTAAGAAATTCATGTAGGGTAGCCTGGGGCAAGACGCCCCAGATAATTTATTTTGCTACATAACTTTTGTCCCACATCACCTGGAAGGCCAAATTTGTGCTCAATGCGTTCTTTGGACATTTTACTTTAAATTCCACCCCTCAAATTCATTCACTTATGATCGGACTCCTAGCTAGGAAGTGATTTGTGAAGCAACTGCAAATGGAGCATTTTGCCCCAACCCCAGGGCAAAACGCCCTACGGCCTGGGGCAAGAAGCCCCATACTCTAGATTAAAGATTAAACATGCTAGTTGACTTAAATCTTATATGAGAGGTCTGTTAGACCTTGGGAAGCACGGCACTGAAGTTAGCTCCTTCCATCCTATCAGGTGTTCAGCTATGGCACTATTGTATGATCAGGTTTTTCACCTGCCTCATAAGGCCAAATAATAAATTATTGCAATGGAAATGCTAACAAAATACTTCCTTTGCCATCCAGTTGCTGAGAAAAGTACATATAAATGCATAGAAACTTACTGTTAGCCAGCTACCGAACATTAGGAAGTGGGTAGTCCGAACAACACATGAGGTAAAACGTCCCATGGGGCGTTTTGCCCCGCGACCTACTGGGGCGTTTAACCCCATCACGTAGTTCGGTCAGAGAACAACGCCTTGCACTCCAGCAAGGCATAATTTAACACGAACCAACCCGGCATTATAAGCGTTAGATAAAGTTGTTCAAAATACATAAAAGTCGTTAACCTGTTGTGGACCATAAAAGAACGCCATGATGCATAAGCTGACAACAAAACATACAAATCACTCCAAAAACACATTTTTGGCTATATCTCCCTAAAGAGTCATCACAATTTCTTTCCAGTCTGCACATATAATGATCATATAGTGCACGTTTTATAGAAGAGATAATGTTTCTCCAGAACCTTGCCAGTTCCGAGAAACATCGGTGAGGCGTTTTACCTCGGCGGGGCGACTTGCCCCGGTCTACCCTATCATGGTCGTGAAGTAGTTACGAGAAATTGCCAAGATTCAGTTCAAGATTTTGGAAAATGCGGAACGATAATCAATAATCGAAGATAGCCATTTCATTTTTCATGGTATTGGCAGTCTAATGGCGTTTACGGCATGTCTATATGTCTGTTCTGTGATTTTATATGATTTTTTGAACATATGCCGTTTTTGGTCGAAAACTCAGAAATCATGACGTCACTAAAACCTCGATATCTCAAAAACTTTCCGACCGATTTTTTTGAAACTTTGTCACAATACACTTCAATTAATTCCCTACAGGTACCCAAAATTTGGCGCGCCTGCGGCGCGCCGTTTTTATGCTATGGCCCGGCGAAAAAATGTGGGGGCGTTTAACGCCCCCCCCCCCAGCAACTCGCGGGTTAAACGAGTAATCGAATGTTTTATTTGCAGTGTTTAAGCCCCGTTATGTTCATGAACTGTGAGATTAGTTGTCGGAGAACGCTAAAATCAAAGAAATTTGGCTTTTGATAATCTATGGTGATTTTATTATTGAGCTTGCCTAAAACATGACCAGATTTCTCTGATCACGTTTGTCGCTCTTTCAAACGTCGTTCCGCTTCTCGCCTCGTAGCCCAGTAGCCGAGTTAGAAGGAGCGTGAAAAGCCCACCTCTCGACTCAACGTGTTACGATAAGGCCACCACCCTGGTGCGGGTTAAGTTGGGGGAGCCTTGAGCCCCAGCAGCTCGTCCTTCTATCTCACTGATATTACCCTCGTCCTGTCTTGTGATGTTATTACAGTGCCATCTTACGATAACGGCCCTTAAATATGATTTACTTCTGTTTGATGGAACATGTCGGGCTCCGTGAAATGAGACTTAAAAACATAGAAGCTCCAAAATGAAAATAAAGTAAATTTTCAAGAACTTTTCAAGGTAGATAAGAATAATGCGAGACGCTTTTATAGATGGCAGTTTTTTTCGTATGGAGACAGCTTTTAGGATTTACAAAAGCGGAAAAAGTTACCCCGGCCGCGCCGGGGTCGGCTGAAAGTTACCCCGGCCACGGCCGGGGTGGCCGGGGCAGGTTCTCCACCCATGCACACAATATTCTAATGATGCAGTTTCACTGAAACTATACCTAACCTTTTTGGATAAACTTTAATGATATTTCTAGATCTTTTAGGATATAACCTTTTTAGAATAAGTGGATCTTTCCAATCAGATAAGTTTGAAAACACAAATTTAATAGCCGTAAGTTCACTGGCCCCAATGCTTAGCTAAGTTCGAGGACACCGATTGCTTCAGCGGTGAATGGCTGCAGCAGCGAATGCCTGAGAGGTAGGCTGCTCCGCAGTGTCCTGTCCTGTGAGGAAACCGGGACCGTCTTCTTTAGTTTGTGGAATGATTCCAGATGTCGAAATATGACAGAGACATACGTAGCACGTACATTTGCTTCATAGGCAACACTAAATGTCAACAAATACACCGAGCAGCTTACGGAACAAATTGTGCCATTCCGCAGCATCGCTGGAAATAATGCGGAACGACAGCCGCGTCATTTAGCGACGAAACAAAAATGTTTATGCTGATGGCTCTAAAACGGAACCATCTGTAAGTGTCGGGGAGATAGAAGTGTCTTGGCGTGGTTGGAGTGCTACTGCTAGCAATTCAAAAGTTTAATATTATTCGTTGGGGTCAGATCGACGGTATTAAATTGGTTATCAATATTGTGCGTTTTAATGCCAGCACTTTGTCTTTAATTGCTTTATATTCACTATATATGTATTTCTTTTTATATCTTTGTGACAGTTGCCTGTTATAAATAGAGCTAAGAAATTGTTGTTTGACGCAAGAGTTTGTAAAGACGTCTCACCTTCCAGTTTTCAGGGAGCGGATTAACACTTTCTGTAGTGTTACGAGCGATTTCATTCTTCAGACTTTCCTATATGGAGTCCTAGCGATCACTATACGCAGAAGATCAATGGAAGACAGAGCAAAAGAACGAATAAACGATGAAGCTAATGAATGCGTGCATGCTTGAATAGAGGCTATATAATGTTTGGTAATATTAGTCCTATAAATATATTGTACGTTACCTAAACTTAGACGCAATATATTATTTGACATGTTTGCAAGTAACTTGACTTATGGCTTGGCCTACATGACCTGAAGTACATATACTAGTGATGTCAATTACGGAAAATCGAAATACCGATGCCAAACCAAACACCAACCAAAACCACGGGAAAATACCGAAACCAAACCAACTTGGGAAAATGAGGGATATACCAACTTATTACCAATTTCTTAGCCTCTTATACATTAGTGAGGGTTTATGATACCAACAAAATACCAAACACATTACGATTGAAATACCAAATACCAAGTTGGTATCGGTTTGGTATCGGTATACCAAAAAGTTGGTAACCGATTGACATCTCTAACATATACCATACCAGTGAACTGACCTGTATCTAACCCCCACCTGCCCTAAGATGATATGACCATACTTGTAAGACCTTACTTGCAACCTGGCCTTATCGGTGGCCTGACATAATATATGACCTGACCTGACCTTATCTATGCCCTGACCAACCCTGACCTGACCTGTAGCCTGGCCTGTGACGTTCTGTGACTTGACCTGCGGCCGTTATTGTAGCATTGTCTGTGACTTCATATGTGACCCAGCCTAATATGTGGTCTGACCTGCGATCTGACCTGTAATTTGTCTTTACCTAACTTGACCTGTCCTCTGACCTGACTTCTGACCTGACCCGTGATTTAAACCGTGACCTGACCTGAGGTCTGACCTGTGACCTGACCTGTGGGATATGACCTGGCCGGTGATCTGGTCTGTGACCCTACCTGTGACCTTCCCTGTGCTTCACCTGCGACCTGACCTGTGACCTGGCCTTTGACCCTACCTGTGACCATACCTGTGGTTTTACCTGTGACTTTACCTGTGACCTGTCCTGTGACCTGTCCTGTCTTTCTCTGACTTGACATCTGACCTGACCTGACCTGACATGACCTGTCCTGTGACCTGTCCTGCGACCTGCCCTGTAACCTGACCTGTGACCTGCCTTGACCTGACCTGTGACCTGCCTTGACCTAACAAGTGACCTGACATGACCTGACATAAAATTACCTGTGACCTGACCCGTGACCTAGCCTGTGACCTGTCCTGTGACATGACCTGTGACCTGTCCTGTGACCTGACCTGTGACCTGCCCTGTGACCTGACCTGTGCCCTGTCCGGCAGGTATGGCTGGACATGGAGCGGCCGATGAGCCGGCAGCTGGGGCTCAGCCCCCGGGACCTGGTGCTCTGGCTCTGTGTCAAGTTCTATACTCCCGACCCTGCCAAACTGGAGGACGAGCTGACGCGCTACCTGTTCTCCCTGCAAATACGGCGAGACCTGGCGCAGGGACAGCTCAAATGTAACAGCAAGACGGCAGCCGTTCTGGTCAGCTACATCGTCCAGTGTGAGTCAAATGGAACTCAGTGTTAGCGAAATGGAACTTAGTGTGTCTGTGCAGTGAACTTCAGTGTGAATGAATAAGAGCAGCAGTGGAAGTCTGATCTCTAATCTGACCTGACCGACTGACTTGATATCTGATGTGACCTCTGACGTGACCTGTAACCTGACCTATAACCTGAGCTCTGAACTGACTTGACCTCAAATCCAACGTTTGACGTGATATTCTGACGCGACCTCTGATCCGACCTGAGTCTTACCTCTGACCCGAATGACCTGACCTCTGACCTGACCCCTGCCCCGGCAGCCGAGCACGGCGACTATGACAGTGACGAGAGCCCGAGTCGGTACCGGGTGATGCCGGGTCAGGACGCCGAGATGCAGCGCCGTATTATCGAGTCCCACCGGCGGCTGGCCGGTCAGCCGCCCAGCGAGGCCGAGCTGAACCTGCTGGAGACAGCGCGGCGCTGCGAGCTCTACGGCATGAAGATGCACCCCGCCAAGGTGAGAGCGCTACGGCATGAAGATGCACCCCACCAAGGTGAGAGTTCTACGGCATGAAGATGCACCCCGCCAAGGTGAGAGCTCTACGGCATGAAGATGCACCCCGCCAAGGTGAGAGCTCTGCGGCATGAAGATGCACCCCGCCAAGGTGAGAGCTCTACGGCATGAAGATGCACCCCGCCAAGGTGAGAGCTCTACGGCATGAAGATGCACCCCGCCAAGGTGGGTGACGGAGGAAGTATTGGAGAGTACGAGTGTCGAGTAGCTTGGGGCAAGGGAAAAGGAGGGCGATTCTTCTATTGGTGTTGAGTTATCGTAAAACTAAAATCTATGGGCATCATTATTGTTGGCCATTAGAGGCATATGTGGAAGTAATTTCGTCATGCCCGATCCCACTGTCTGCTAATTATTGCACACCGTTCCGTTTTCACAGGACCACGAGGGTGTTCCTCTGAACCTGACCGTGGCTCATATGGGAATCGTCGTCTTCCAACACTTTTGTCGAATCAACACCTTCTCGTGGGGAAAAATCAGAAAGATCTCCTTCAAGAGGCGGCGATTTCTGGTCAAACTGCATCCAGACGGAACTGTAAGCTCTATAAGCATCGCTTATAGTCATACGAATGAGCTCGTATAGGCTCATCGAGGCAGTCGATTACTTCTTCAATACAATACCACAAATGAATCCGAAGGCTTTGCAAAAAGTGTCATGAGTTGTAACACCTTTTGGCACCAACTGGTACTTAGTTGAGAGGCATCGTTATATTTTCAAAATCAAATAAAAATTCATATTTCCTGTCCACAGAGGTACTACAAAGACACAGTAGACTTTTTCTTCGAGAGCCGGAATCACTGCAAGAACTTCTGGAAGCGTTGTGTCGAGCACCACGGGTTCTTCCGCTGTCTGGAGGCGCGGCACCGGAGCAGGTCTCGGCCCAGCGTCCTCCCTAAGGGTAGCCAATTCCGGTAAGAAAGGACAAGAGGTCATATGTCTTCCATCGCTATATGGGCAAGTCGTTAGTTCGGTACAGATAACGTGTCGCATTGTAAGTTTTTTTTTCTTCTGAAACCGAACAAATATTCCTTAGTCCGCTGTTCTGCAACGGAATTGCTTTATGCGGCACCATGTTACGGTTTTATTTACAAGAACGTGACGCTTACCTATTAGTACACAGCAGCTGCACCAGTAACTGATTGTGTTCGCTGCTACTATACCCTACAGATTTACTGGGCGGACGCAGAAACAGGTGGCCGAGTACGTCCGTCAGAACCTCTCCAAGCATCAGGTGTTCAACAGGTAAGGCGCGCTGCATGTTTAATCACATCGCTCCGGCGGTGACCTTTCATTGCACGGAAAGCCTCATTCTGTGTCACGCGTTATTCATGAGAGCAAATGGGCGTAAAACGATGTTTTTCTCGATGATCGTATGTGTTCAATAAATTTTGCCAGTGCTGCTCGATATAAAAGGTTTTGCCACCATTCCTTTACAAAGTCAAGGGCTTATCTTTACTTTTCTGACTGCAGCCTTTCTCATGATTGTTTTGAATTTGTGCAATATATGGACATTGTTTTCTTGTAACCGTGTTGTTTGCGCGTTTCTTCGCTGTCCAGGTCTCAGTCATTCCGGGCGTCGTGCAGTAACGTGCGGTCCAGCAGTCTGCGGAGCGTGGGCACCTCGCTCTCCGCCAACCCGCTGATACCCATCGACATGGAGAACGAGATCCTGACACTAGGTGAGCGGAATGTACAGCGGGCAGTGAATGAATGGTGGTAACAATTCATGTATCGTACAAATATCCGTCAGTTCGTATCTAGAAACAAGGACACACACTTGGCTTGAATTGTCATAAAACGACTACTTTAGATACTGGTAAACCCGAAGAAAACATTATGAGCTCAGATATGAGAGGAATGTACTTAAGTGGACTCTACAAAAGTGATTCTGTATTACAAAGTGCACGCCCGCCTGTGTTTCAGAGCGCACGCCGGTCTCGCTGTCGTACGGCTCGGCCACCATCACCTCGACGGCCACGCCTCGCTCGCCGCCCTCGCTGACCGACCACGACACGGCCGAGCTGGACACCACGTCCCGCGGCGAGGTGACCACCTCGGCGGCCTCCACGCTGCCGCCGGCGCGGTCCGGCCACCTGTCTCCCGACAGCGAGCTCTCCAGCGCGCCCACCGACTCGTACTGCCCGGCGGCGCGGCGCATCACCTCTCGGCTCTCGCGCAGCAGTCCCAGTCTCTCGGAGACGGCCGAGGAGTCCGAGGAGGCGGCCAGCTCCGGCACGCTGCGCGCGCCGCCGCTCAGCGGCCGCCGCCGCCAGCTCAGCCGCGACTCGTCCAGCCTCAGCTCCGTGGTCGAGATCAACACAGTGATCGACCGGCGCCAGCTGCTCGACGACACCGTCTCGCACGACTCGTACGACCTGCTGGACGCGGGGCCGCTGCGCGCCGCCGGCTGGGCGCTGGCCGCCGCAGAACCGGCAGACGACGACGACGACGACGACGACGAGGATGGCAGCGGCGCCGGCGGTGGTGAGACGGTCAACCTGATCCCGTTCGGGACAGAGCTGTGGTCGACCACGGCGGCCGGCTGTCGGCCCGTGCTGGTGCCCGGAGACGACGCGTGTCCCGGTCCGCTGATCCTGCCGCCGGAGCCGTTCAACACCTACCGCCTGGAGGGAGTGAAGACGCTGCCGCGGGCGGGGCGGGCGGCGGGGTCGGCGGTGGGCGCCGCGACGCTCCAGTGGCGGAGCAGCGACCGGCTGTCGGCGGCCGGCCCGGCGGGCTCGGAGGACGGCGCACCGCCGGCCGAAGAGCGGCTCTCGCCCGAGTCGCCCGTCTCCGAGCACGGCGAGTATCGGCTGGCCGTGGGAGCCCAGGAGGAGTGGCTCCAGGTGCGCTCCGTGCCCGGCACCCTGGAGCGCGCCGTGCTGCAGAGGCTCAACGAGCGGCGCGGCCCGGCCGTGAGCACCTCACTGCTCACCGGCCCACGGGCCGAGAGCGCAGCCTCGCCGCAGCGTCTGCCGACCGCGCTGCCCGCGCCGCTGCCGACGATCGTACCCGCTCCTCCTCCAGTACCTCAGAGCGCGCCGGACGGTCTGTCGCTGCCAGCGGAGTCGGCGGAGCGGGGCGCGTCGCCCGAGGTGGACGAGGAGCCGTCGTCGCTCTCGTCGTCGCGCACGACGGGCGACGAGTCGACGCTCCAGTACGACACGGTGCCGGACGAGTCGGAGCTCGAGGTGGAGGCGCCGCCCGAGTTTTCGGACCGTCCACCGCCGCTGCCGCCGCCGCTGGCGCGCCTCTGCTACGGCCGTCGCCGGCTGCCCGGCGAGCCGCCCGGCTGCGGCGGCCTGCTCCAGGTAGCCGAGGAGGAGGAGGAGGGCTCCGAGGAGTCGTCCACCGACGACGGCGGCCAGGAGACGCCCTCGGGCGAGGAGGCCGACTTCCCGTCGCCGCCCAGCTCGCTGCTGGACCCGCTGCGACCGGCGGCCACCCTGGGCCGCCCCGTGTGTCGGCTTCAGCTGAGTCTGCCGGTGGCCGAGCAGGCGCCGCCGCAGCGCGTGCTGCTGGCCGGCTCCGGCTCCGGCTCCGGCTCGGACAGCTCGTCCGAGCGGGCCGAGACGGGCGGCGCCGACTCGGAGCCGGACGCGCCGCTGGAGGAGCTGCCCGGAGACGGGGAGATGGCCCGGCTGCCCGTGTCGCGGCCCTGTGCCCTCTCCTCGTCACCGGAGGCACACGTCTGACTCGACCACGGCATTGGAGACAGAGGACGGTGAAATTGAGCTTAGGAATGGCTGGCCAGAATCAGGGAGAATAGACGATGTATGTATATTGGCATCGAGCTCATGAGCAAAAGAAGTAAGTGATGTACTGGTGTCAGAGACTTATTCGATTCAAACGCTGACGGACCCGAGACAAGAGTGTGCGGTAAAATAGAGTCCTTGATTGACACAAGAGTCACAGACTCAGCTGATGTCAACCACGAGGAAGTCAAACTGAGCGGCTCCAGCTGAGCTCAACTGATGCGAGGTGAGACCTACTTGACTCGTATTTATTTCTGTGCGTCTCTCGTGATGGGTCTCGGATGACTCGATATAGGTACTCTTGGATCAGAAGTCGATACTTCAGCTCCAGCGGTGTCCGGTGCTCTTGTATAAAATACTGATTTCAAATGCAACCCGCTGCTTTGATGCCCAATATGCACATTGGGTGTGTGCTGCGACCAACAGATCATAGTTCGTTTTGCCGATGGGATTGTGCTCGGAGAGCAGCGGCAGCGAGCTCGGGGCTGATGTTACGGTGTGAGGACATTGCGGTCTTCAATACTCTGCGTGTGCTTTACATTTTTTGTATCGATGTGTTGTGTACCAGCCGCGCGTGGTCCCCGCAGCCCCGGCGTGTGTTAGCCGCCACCCCGCTACGGTTGTGCATTGCTCAAATGTGTCGGTATAGGACGGCCGGCGCTGGCCGCGGCATCTCTCTGCGGCTCTGCTGAGCCGCTGTTGCTGCTGTGGGGGCGCTACTGGCGTGTGCGTGGGCGACCCGTGGCCGCCTGCCGGTCGGCGGGTGGTGCAGTCTGGACAACAAACTGAGCGGACTGAGTGCTGAAGTGATGTTTTCGGTTGGTACGGCTGACGATTCGTAAGTTTCATCGGTCCAAAGCTAATAGCTAAGGTACGGTACGGAATTCAACATTGTTCGTTTCACTCACTTCGTTAAAAAACAAGAGAATGATTGCTTGAATAGTCTTCTGGGAGCTATTCAGACTGTGTTCTTAAATTTTCCTTTTTCAACCATAATCCGGATCAACAGATTTTAAAAGGAAAATTAAAGTATATCTTATTCGCGTTTATGGCAAACTGACTTAGCAATAGACGGTTACAATATGTACATTTATTTTGAGCCTGCATTTAGCTTGTTTTCCATTTGGATGAATTTTATTTTTGTGTCGTTCTTTCCTTGTCCGCGATAAGGTTATTGCAAGAGTTTAATGAGATATTTCACTAAAATATAGCCTAGACCTCACCTCTATCTGCACCCAAATACGGCATATTATTACGCATGTATATAGGGTGCGGTAAAAATGCTCCCAATTGAACACAATCACGGGTTTCTTGTTATGTTATTGGCTGTGTCAATATATACCTACATAAAACTGTAGAGATATGTATCTGTATATGTTGGTGTCTTTATTGACTCGCCTTGGTTCGGTCGAGAGTAATGAAACACTGATGACCTCGAGTCGACCAAATATTGCATACCTATATAGCGTTACGAAAGGTCGAAGAACACCAACAAATAAAGCTTCGAACATTGCAAAGCATTTATGCAACCACGGATCAGTGTGCTTGATATATTTTGAGATCATTTGCGGCGTTAAACAAGCAGTTTCCGTATCGCCCCCACTAAGCTATATAGGTTAGGGTGAGGTCACTTGATTACAATGATCGTTGTTACCCTTTTAAAACGATATTAATTGTAAACCTATTTATCTCATTCTCTCTCATCTATCTCTCTCTCTCTCTCTCTCTCTCTCTCTCTCTCTCTCTCTCTCTCTCTCTCTCTCTCTCTCTCTCTTTCCCCCTTTACTTTTGTCTTCTCGCTCCCTCTTTTTCTCTCCATTTTGAGGCAGGGATGAGCGTGGCCTCGCACCGCGGCTTCCTCAGTTACCCACAATAGCGAGTTTCCTACTACGGGAGCGTGCAGGTGGTCAGCTGAATATTCCATTGTGATGCGGGTTAATGCGCCAACCGCTATCGAAGCATTGGTGTTCACAAACTTCTGTATAATCGATTCAGCATTATTCACGATCAGTTAGGTACAATTCTGTACTTTGTAACATCTTATGAGGGCAAAACTATACGGACATATTCACTCAGCAACGCATTGATCTTGGCCCCTAACTATTTGCCACGTTTGTTAATTTACGGAGCACGTGAATGCCACTGGCTATGCTCATTTTCATACGCAGCATTGTCGTCGCCGTGCTCAATGAGTGTGATGGTCTCACGGCGCCGGTGACGACAATGGCTCGCTGGTTAGTGTCGGCGCCGCCGGTCACAGTCAGTCCTGAGTGCGTGGTGGCACCTGCCTTAGTTCACATATAGAGACTGGTAGGTATGGGAGCTGTAAGAGGCGCCTGGGAGCCAGTCTGTAACGATGCACACGGGTGAAGCGTGAACCGGGCTCAGTTCTCGCCCAGGTAGCGACTCGAGCACATACCTATCTTCCCACTGAAGTAAAGTGACTTAAGTGAGTCAGAAAGAGAAGGCTCAGTAGTCTCGTGCTACTCAAGATGTAATACTGCATCAATCATGCCAGCTTCTAGTTGGTCTATGGAAGTTTGTCAATTGCACCTGAAGCTTCAGTAGCTGAGATGAACGCCCCCCAGAAGCGAGTGCACCCGACACCGTCGCCTCGTAGTCAGGCACCGAACGGGAGCTGGTGGGCGTCTCCGTCCGACGCCGCCGTCTCTTCCCACCTCCAGTGGCCCCTCGGCCGGGTGAGCATCGTCGGCCTGAACATCGTGCTGAGCGGCCGGGCGTGCTGGCTGCGCCGGCTGCTTTGGCTGCTGGTGCTGCTCGTGCTGCTGGCCTGGCTGGCCTGGCAGCTGACCACACCGTTCGACCGGCTGGCCCGCGGCGGCACCACGTGGCAGTTCTCCAAGCGCAAGGAGAACAGCGTCCGCCTGCCGGCCATCACCATCTGCCACAACAACAAGTTCAACCGAACCGCCGTGGAGGCCATGAGTGTGCCGGGCGCCGGACTGCTGCAGTGGCTCTCCGAGGACACGGAGCCGTTCTCCCTGCTCGACTGGGACCGGTACAACCTGGACCAGTTCTTGGAGGCGGCCGCCTTCGACTGGAGGGCCATGGTCACCCAATGCCGCATCGCCAAGTCCCACTGTCTGGAGGTCGGCGCGGTGCGCACGCTGCAGTCGCCCATGCTGGGTCACTGCGCCACCCTGGTGACCAACGCCTCCGTCCAGGCCAGCATCCTCTCCCCCCAGTTCTTCATCGCGCTCTCCGAGAGTGGCTCCTTTGAGGAGGACGAGCACGACGGCTGGACGCTGTTCCTGCACCAGAGCGACATCCTCTTCGACGACTTCGTCCTCTTCGCCGGCCTGGCCAAGCCGCTGAAGCTGTACGCCAACAGCTCCATCACGGTGAAGGTGGATACCAACATCAACGTGCTGCTGTCCAACACGGGGAAGTGCGGCGACGCCACCGCTCCTGAGCACCAGACCTGTCTGGAACAGTGTATCGCCGAGCACGCCAACCTTACCTCGGCCTCCTGCCGCATCCCCTGGATCAAATCCTCGCTCAGCCAGCCCCCGTGCACCTCCTACCGCGACTTCGTCACGTCCGGCCTCCGGCTGCCCAACTCCTTCGACGAGTACAAGATGGCCGAGGCTCTGAAGCACTGTCCGTGCATCCAGCCGTGTAGCTGGCTGGAGTACATCATCAGCACGCCGTATCGGATCGGCCTGCGGGAGACGCGTGGTGCGCTGGGCCCCGGAGAGCGCTCCTCCGGAGCGGGGCCTTCGAGCCGCGCCGAGCTGTGGTTCTCCACCACCGTGCACACCACGGAGGAGCGCCAGCTGTACCCGCTCAGCCAGTTCCTGGCCGAGGTCGGCGGCAGCCTGGGCCTCATGGTCGGCGCCTCGCTGCTCACACTGGCAGAGATGGTCGACTGCCTCATATGTGTGTGTCTGAATGCAGCCCAGAGACGACGCCCAGCCGACTGCCCCGTCCGTAACTAGGCATCTGCATTTCAGTGTTTATCAATGCTCACTGTGGCCCTAAGTCGGCATGTCTCATTTGTGTAGGGCACAATGCTTTCTAGTAACATAGAATAATATGTTTATTGAAGTGACTCATAAAATTATCAGTTTATTTAAAACATTGTGCTGTGAAAGAAATGCATGCAACACTGATATGTTTCAATGTTCGGAGAAGTCGCATGATGTTTTTCTATTTCTGTGTCCCTCTCTTATATCACGAAGCAATTTAGGGAGTTGAGAGAGATAGAGCGAGAAAGAGGAGAGAGATAAATTGGAGGCATATGATAGATGGAGAGAGAATAAAAAAGACGAAGAAAAGAGTGAATAAAAATAAGAAATGCATGGAAACATGTACGTATGATTAATTATCCGATAAAACCTAGTTAGTGTAGCTTATTGAAGGATTATACAGATTTGTGTTAAGTCCTCTTCTATGTGTTTGTTCTAATTAGGCAATTTGCTTTAACCCTCGCACGACCAGGCCATTTCTCATAACACGAACGACCAGGGGGGGGGGGGGGGGGGGTTGTTACGACCCCCCCTGGCGTTTCGAAACGGAAGGTCGTAGAGCTTAGCGGAAAAACCAACGGATTGCTCTCAACGAGATCTCGCGATTGGTGGTATATTTTTTGGTCCTAGGTCAACATTTGACCTACTTTTGACCGGTCAAAGGTCAAATTTTCGGAAAAATAGACCTTTTTCAACTTTCCGCGGCGATTGCGGCAAAACGGTGGGAGATATCGACTTGAAACCTTCACTATCGTGTTCCTTGATTAATTCTCTATCGTTTGGTATGTATTTCGTTCCCCTAGCTCTAAAAATGGCGCGTTGGGAGCGCCGGAAGTCGGCAAGGTCACAGTCGGCGGCAGAAATTCGAAAAATCAAAATTTAAATTTTTTAAATCTGATTGTATTTTTGGATTTGGGAGGTCCATTTGCTCCCTATAGAAGCTAATATTGCTGCATATTCCCATTGAGGTGACAAGAATTAGCAAAATAGTGGTTCGGGCGCTTTTCAAAAATAGTACCGGACGCTGTTCCACTTGTGACGTCATAGCTCCGTGACCTGACCTGACCCGGTCAATTTTCTTGCATCACACGATAGCCAATGCTTGCCCCAACATGCATGGGAAGTTTCATCATGATCCATCAAACAATGTGGGTATCACCGGCAGAAAACCTAGGGATTCGGCGCACACGTTTGGTAACTGTCGGCCGGAGGCTGTACCTCTTATGACGTCATAACTCCGTGACCTGACATGACCCGATCAACTTTTTTTCGGCAAAAGATGCGCAAAGGTCGCCCCAGAGGGTATTGAAAATTTCAGCCCGCTACGACAAGCCGTTTAGCGTGCACTTCGAAAAAACCTCAGGGGGGGGGGGGTTGATACAACCCCCCCTAGGCGTTCTAGGGTTAAAGTTAGATTGCAAAGACTACTTGTAGCATTTTATTAGTATAGTTGTGATGACAGCATCAGAGGAAGTTTGGAAATAAACATGACAGCCGTTGATACATCGGGCGTAATATCATCATCCTTCCCCGCGCATAAAAGGACTATGACGCAAGGAAAGTCCTTTTAATGAGGAAATACAAGATTGCAAAAACATATGGTATCGGACTGTTAGCGAGGATAAAAGTTTAAGTTCGACTGAAGCAGTATGAATTTCGCAGATGAAGAGGACTTCCACTTGAGCTGAAGGACAAAAACGAGAGGAGTTATATGTAGGTTCGCGTCTCAGGTGCGCGACAGGCTTCGCCAAGAGAAGCTCAAAACAGCGTTTGGTACAAACAATATTTATACCTCCAAATAACAGGATGAGCGGGACATGTTTCATTTCACATTTGATCGCGTGACGTATGGCCATGCAAAGACTGTTTTCTCCTCACAAGGCCAACCAAATAACGCTAAAACACAAGGACACGGCACCTTGCGTCTCGATGCAGCAGTATTCTCACAGGCCCTCCACCCCACGTCACTCTCCGCGGACCGCCAGCACGGCTCCACAGACAGACGCGGCTGGATGGGGCCGCCGCTGACACCCGGCCGCCGCGCCGCGCCCGCTCAGAGCACCTTGGCGCCGTACAGAGACTGCACTTTGGAGGTGTACTGTCGGTGGTGCATGTCGTAGTTTCGGATGTTGGAGCGCACCGAGGCCAGCATGGAGCTGAGGTCGGCCTCCTGGCGCGGGTAGCGTAGACTGGCCGAGTTGTGCGCCCGCTCCGCCCACGACTGCGCCTTGGGCGGCTGAACGTGGTTCCTGGACAGACCTGCAACAAAACAAACCGGCCGGCATTACTGGATGCGGCAAAACAATTAGCTGGTATTGCTAGATGCAGCAAAATGAACCAGCTGCATCACTGGATGCAACAAAACAAATCGGCTACCGTTAGTGGATGCAGCGCGGCATTGTATGTAATACGTGGAAAATTTACTCATGTTATTGTTCAAAATGAAATAAAACTGACATATTTTGTATATTTGATTATTTCATAGCACAATCCTTATAAAATGCATTATTTGAATTCAAATTTCAAGGAAAATGATTTGCTATCCGTTACTCATTTCTACATCACACTTACATAATTAGCATGCAAGTACGGTGAAAAGAACTGGTGAACCGGATACGATTCATAAAGACGTCAACAAAAGCTTGTTGCTAAGGAAAACTATGAACAGGCAACCCACAAAAAGCATGTAACACTCCTACTGACGTCTGGTCAGCGGACGCCACTTTTGTGTTGTGGTGTGACAATTTTAGCGGCGCGTCTATCTCTGTCGTGCCATCTCAGCGGCTCTCGCGCCTTTCTGAGCCCCCGGCCGGGCGCCACGGTCGGCCGGCCGACCAGCGTCCCGCCTGCCAGCGCCACCCGCCAACAATGTCGCCTATTCGGAGATGGCGAGTCGACACCGCCGCCCCGGGGACAAATTTAGACGGTCCGCGGCGGCGGCGGGGCTGTGTCCGCGGCCGACGCGCCCAGAATCTGCCCTTGACACGCACGTGAGATCGGCACGGTTCGCGAGATACGGGAATTCTGGTCTCACTCAGCGGAAGCCTTTTAACTTTTAGGCGTGTTTCATGTGTATTTTAATATTTTTAGTGTAGGGTGCAATCTTACTTTTATGCTGCATATTTTACTTTTAATAGGTACCTGATTTTATGTAAACCTGACACTTGTTCCGAAAAGCCATCGAATGTGGACGAACATAAGAATACATGATGATGATGATGATGATGAAGCCCAGCCACTCTATTACAGCCCTTCGTCTGTGTTTGTTCATGTTGCATCAAATGACAATATTTGAGCCCGTTTTCTCTAAGCTAACAGAGAATTGGCCACAGTCCCATCGTCAGTGAAGGATTTGCCTCTAATTGCGTCATCGGCGCTTCATCGCGCCACGGCCGGCTGGCAGGCAGTGCTGCTGCCAATGGATGGACGACTGGATCGGCTACAGGTCCGCGGTGCCTCGCTCCAGAGACCGACGACTGACGGCAGAGAGCTGGCGGCCGCTGGCACACCCGGATACAGCAGGACGGCGGTGACAGGCAGCCCTTGCATCAGGACTGGGGTGGCGGCCAACAGAACCAGACGGGAAATAACGCCGAGATGTGTTTGCAAAAGTGAGTCAAAATAAAGGTGAACTGGTACTTTTGCGAAACACTCAAGAAATGAGAGAGGTTTTGTTTTGTGGAAATACCATTCGCACTGCTACACTGAAAACCAAAACGATTCTCTATTCCCTTTGATCATGGTGTGTCATGCTCCTATAACTCTGCCGTTTTCCTGGCGGAATGCCCTTAACCCGCGCCCCGTAGGGGGGGGGGCCGAAACGGCCCCCCTGTCCTTTTCGGTCGATATCTCCTAAACGGCTGGAGATATCGCCACCAAACTTTCAGGACCCCTCCGGGCATCAATTTCACACATTGTGACCAAAAATTTTTCCAGAGGCTATGATAGGTTGGCCACAAATGACGTCAGAGTGACGTCATGTTCTGTCATTTTCGACCGAAAAAAGACCTTCGCGAGAAGACCTGTCAGGCCTACAGCTTTGAAGATACAGAAAAATGATCAAGATCTAAAAGGTGTAGAATCGACAGGGCTACAAAACTGCTATCTCGGATTTTTGAAATTTTTGAGTTTTGACCCCCAAAAATCAAAAAAGCATTTTTTGGGATATATTAGCCATAAAATCCAAAAAGCTTTTTTTGATTTTCGAAAAAACCGGAATATATGTGATAGTACCTACCGTCTTCTATCTACATACCAAATTTCAGATCGATACCTCGTTTTTTGGCCAAGTTATAGCGAAAAAACTGTTCAAAAATGATGACGTCAAATTTTCAAACTCAATTTTTGGCAATTCTAGACCTCGTAGAGCAAAACAAAGACCACCATTAGACTCCCCGTGACGAGTTGCATCGAATCGATACCCATTTTATGCAAAAATATCAACTTTGAAATTTGACCTAATTTGACCTGACCTTGACCTGACCTTCACCAAAACGTGACCTAGGCTGGCCGCAAAGGCTGCCTAACCCACATAATTGCATTTGTCATGTAAAATGGACCATAAAACATGTATCACACAACACTTTCATATTGTGACCCCCGGTGACCTGACCTCGCTGTGACCTGACCTGGTATCAGTGACCTCAGATAGCAAAGTATGTGTTTGACGAACAATGTACCATCGATGGTTTTCAATAAATTACCAATTTACTCGATTTCACAACACATTTCTTGAAATGCCTGTGAACGGTGAAAATCTGACCTTTGACCTGACCTGTGACGTCATCGGTTTGACCTAGGTCAATGAAATTTGGTCACAAGGTAGTTCCCGGGTGGGGCTATCGAACGCCGTTTGAATTTTGAAAATCGGCCGGTAACTTTCCGAGATCTTAGGGGGGGCGCCGAAACGGCCCCCCCCCCTACGGGTGGTAGGGTCCGCCGGTAGCCCTACGGGGCGCGGGTTAAAGGTAGTGTGCCACCTTTGAAAGATTTCCCATTTTATTTTTCCTAGGATAAGAAGCTTCTGTTTTTACCTAATATCGCAAAGAAAATCAAAAATGGGCCTGGAATAGTACCTTTTTCGCCTAAAAGTTTATCGGTTTTTCGATATGTATAACAACTGTAGTGGGCTGACCTGCAAACAGGCGTCGGCAACAATCGCGAATGCGGCGCACATGTGACAATAAGCAAAGGTCATTATAGTTACGACGTACGGGAATGAGTTATCAGCTGTCTAATAGTAGACAACACAATGTCGAGCCTTAAACTGTAAGCCCGTATTGGTATTGTTTCTTTTATTTGGCTGTCGAACATTATTTATGGTTTGAAATATGATTTTATGTAAAATAATTGATAAGAAAAAGCCGTCTCTTAAGTTATGACCCCATTTCACCACACGCAAGTGCCAGAAATGACAATGATCAGCTGACGCATTTTTCTTGGCAGAAGTCAGAGCGCGCGGCCCGACGCACCACCACCGCACCACAAAGTATGAGCAGAAGCCGCGCCCAAAGCCAGGGCCCCGGTAACGTGAGGTAGCCGAGTCGGGGCAGCGTGCGCTGACCCAAGCCGGGGCCGCAGCTTTGGGCGCGGTCTACCGCATCCCCGCGGGCAGCCCCGGGCTATCACATGACACCTGGAGGACGCGCGGCCCCGGCTTGGGTCAGCGCACGCTGCCCCGACTCGGCTACCTCACGTTACCGGGGCCCTGGCTTTGGGCGCGGTCTACCGCACCACCTAACAGGCGTGTTCGAAACCGCAGGAGATGATGATGAACGGGTTTATCGAAACTTGATTGGATGAGCATATCGGTAATAGCGATTTCAGTGTGTGCATTTATTGTTCATAGTGGTGTGAAATGTGGTTGGGGTACGACCGACAACCCGTCGGGGCGAATTTCGCACTGGGGTACTCAAAATTTGAAGAATTTAAGACGTTTCCATGAGTTTTGAAGGTATGGATAAGTTCTAAAAATCCGGTTCTCCTTATCTGGGCCATTAACTCCATACGGTCCAGGAAAGCTGGCACACTACCTTTAACCCTCGCCCGCACATGGGGGGGGGGGGGTGGTTGCCGCCCCCCCAGGTAGTCTTTCTGCTCTGCACTCAACATTTTTAGAGCTAGAAGGCTGATTTTTCGTATAGCTGCTCCTCTATCCTTTCTTGACGTCCACTGAAAATTTCAAGTTTCTGTGGTTTTTGGTTTCGGAGATATGACCTTGTTTTTCAGGTCATGTCATGACCCAAATGGCCATTTCTCAACATCTTGCGTTGGCTATGGGCCTTGTGAGCTTTTGACACCCTGATTTCGGCCTTTTTTGCCAGTCTTACCTCCCACCTATCATGGAACATGTGTTCGACGATGTACAGATGTCAAGGTCAAGGTCAAGGTCAACCTAGGTCATCTAAGATAATTGCGTTTTAGGCAAGCGGAATTTACTTTTTGTGAAGTTTTTTTGACTGCATTTTTGGTAAAAGCTTCTCAGATCATGATTTCATGTAATATGGACACATAACCAATCGGTGCACACATCAGTATACACACAGACACACACAGACATACAAACACATATAATTGACCTTGACCTAACTTGACCTGAAATGACCTCAGCACCAAAAACCTGGTCGGGTAGGGTGACAAAGAGGTTCTAGCTGGCCTGGCACCAGAAAACGGCATCGTCATCGGTATATGATAAGCAGCGCACTTGATATTCAACGGTGACCCAAAACAGCAACATTTTTTTAGTTTGACCTGACCTGGAAGGTCAATGACTGACCTGAGAAGGTAAAACTGGGTATCATTGGATTCGTCTCTTCCCAAAGAATCTTTTTGGTCTTTACCGCTAAGCTCTATCTCCAACAGGAACGAAATGGCGCGGGGGGGGGGGGGTGGCAACCACCCCCCCCCCCATGTGCGTTCTAGGATGGGAAAATGGCATGTGCGGGCGAGGGTTAACCCGGCCGGGCCCGGGGGGTAATCCCAACCACCGCAGCCCGGGGGGGGGGGCGTTTTTCGCCCCCCCTGTCTAACTCCGTAAATAAGGGAGCTACGGAAACAAAAGCGATACCAAACGAAAGGTCCTTACGAGACGATTCTAATGCACCTAAAATTTTTGACCTCAGGTCAATTTTCAAGGTCAGAGGTCAAGGTCAAAGGCAAAAACCGCCACATGTGTAGTGATCTCAAAGTAAGCCTTCTAGAGGACGGCAGGCTGCATCAAACCGGCAAAATTGGCTGTCAAACGAAAGAAGAGAATCTGA